ATGCTAGATGCCGTCAATGATAAGAGAAACTGGCACTCTCCTCGCAGTTGTAACTGTCACTTACATGGTAGCCTGGAAAATGGCATATGTGCTACTCTGAATTTAACTTTAGTGGACATTCCTTTAATTTTAAATGGTAAATGTATTCAAATGACAGTAATGGCATGGCCATTAACACTGATATAGAGATTAATGAATCAGTTTCACATCTGTTAGAATTTTTTGAATAATTGACTTGAATTGTTTTAATGGTTACCTAATTAAAGGAAATTAGAACTTTAGCAATGTGGCGATTTAATTTTTTAAAAATGGGAAAGCAGTGTCATAGCCACATCTTGCATTTCAATTTAAGAAAATGTGTTATTCTCATGGAATATAAAGGAAGAGCTGAAAAGCATTTTCACAGAAAAGAAGTTTAGAATAATATGAATCACAAAGTTGCCTCATATTCAGTTGTCATTTAATTAATCTTATTAACTTAGTTTTATAATAACTTAAGGATGGTATTCTCATGGAGTAATTCAGTCAGTAAGAGCAAGTTCCTTAATACCTGATATAGCAATCCTCTTCTATTGATTTATAGAGCATATGGCAAATGATGAGAAATGCAAAGCAATCATAGTGCTCTATGAAATATCACACCTTACAAGCGGTTGAAGCTGGGAGAACAAGTTTGTATATTTAATTTCACATGAATGTTCCAGTATGTCCACCTCAAGAATTATTAGGTTCCTTAACACACAACTTCTAAATGTCCCACACAATTTTAACTCCAATATTTTTCACAAAGAACATGCTTTGTTTTAGGTCATCTCCCAGCTGCGCAGACATAGATAACTGCAACCATTTGAATGTTGTACAACTGGAGACAGACATAAAATCAAGAGCTTGAAACTTTTGCTATGACCTTATTTAGAGTATATGTTTAAATGTACACAAAATTATTCTATTTCAGTATGAAAAACTTCCTAATATATACAATGCAAATGTTAAGGACATTAGCTTTGTTTCTTGGGTGCAAGGTATTTTTAATTCACAGGAAAAAAAAATACATCACCTTATCTATTTCTAGTCATGTCTTGGCTTTAAAAAATAAGTTAATGATTCAGTCCCTTTAAAAGAAGTAGAAACATCACTCCTTGAAGTTGAAGGGAAATAAATATAGTAAGAAATGAATAAGGAAAAAATATTTTATAGGGGTGTTCCTAGGTATCTTACTTGGACAAAAATCTGCTACCAGTTCCATTTAAATCCCATTCAATTTCTCCCCTTAGCAAAAGAAGTAAAACTTAACAGAATTAGTGGAAATCAAAATGATTGCCTGATGTTACCAGACTTGAATAAACAAATAGTAATATTCCAGAAAAAATTAGAATTTTTTCCCAATGGTTATATCTTGAGTTGAGCAAACTTTGTTTACAGCATAGCTTTGGTTCTCAGGTATTTTTCAATATTATTACTCCAAATCAACCATTGTTAAGAAAAAAATAACTCTTACTTGAGAATGCAATAGTATTTGACATTGTACGCTTTAAATCCCCTTAGGTGATCAATTAATATGCAGATTCTATCTGGAATTTATGCAGTTCTAATCAATAGAGATGCAGTGGCTGATAAAAACAATAAATCATCTACCCTTATAGACAGTATTGTTTTAGTCACTAAAAGAGCAGCAAAATCTTTACATTTGTTATGCAACATCCTGACAAGTGCTATTTTATTCATTGCAGAACAATTATTTAGAACAATTTCCAGTTTAGATGAATGATGATAGACCACATGAAACAGTGATACTGGAATAAGTTTTACTCAAGGAGAGCACTGAAGAAAATGTGAAAAAATGCTAAATTAGAGCCATGCACAATTGTGTTTGATGAAATTCAAGAGGACCAGTCCCCAAGTGATAGGATGCCCAGCAGAGCTTTGGATTTCCTTTTTCACATGAACTCATTGGATGGCTTTTAGCAAATGGGTGATAGGATCTACTATATCATAATCTAAAATTTTACTATAAAGTTTTATATGAAAATTTTGAAATTACAAAAAGTGGAAAGAATAGAGTGTTAAAAACCCTTCTGAATTTTTTTCTTGCATGACTGGGACTTGTGTTCAGGGCTCCCCAAATATTTGTGTTGCATATTCTTGGAAGTTTGTTATTGTAATAGAATATTTGTGTGTACATTTGAACATATATTTTAAATAAGGTCAGTAGCAATATTCAACAAAATGAACATTTCCTTGATATGCTTTTTTCTGTTCACATTCAGGTTTCCTTCCTAAGTATGTTTCCTTATAGTCATTAAATAGGACTGAGGTTTCAAACCAGTTACACACATTATACTTGACTGTTTCTCTTATCTTGCTTTGTAATTTGAGGCATTACTTCTCTTTCCCCCACCAACATATTTTACCTTGGCGTTCATCTGTCGAATGCATCTACTCATTGTCTCACAGAACATGCCATATGCAAGATTTGTCTGCCTGCTTTTGGGACATCACTTAAACTGCATCTCCATTCTCTATAGTATTTGTTCATTGGAAGTTAACTGAGTCATTGTAATTAGATTTTGTTTGAAATAAACAGGCTCCCTAATTCAGACTACATCACAGCAGAGCACAGATCATCTGGGGGTCTTATAGGTAACTAAGTTCGATAAAATATCATAGGCAGTCAGGGCTAGGCCCTTGAAGGATCCAGTGCAGAAGAGGAGACACCTGGAGAAACTGGCACTTCCCTTGTGGGTCAGAACTCAAGACAAAAGATAAAATAAATGCACCCACATATGTCCCAAGGACAAACATCAGGAACTGATATTCTAAATAGGTATCCTCACTGTGAAAAAGCCAGGAAGAATCAGTAACCCAATCCCGTTCAGGAAATGCCCTTGTACTGCATTCACACCTACTTGCTACGTGACTCGCTTCCCCATTTGATCCCAATTTAATAATTTTACCTGAGCAGTTATACTCATAATCTTATTGGTTGACCATAGTTTTGTCCCACCTCATTCCCACCTTGAGATTTCCCATTTTTCCCATGTGGGACCTGCCTCACCTTGTGGTTTTGCTCTCTACAATTTTCTTAGAAAAGGCCGGGTCCTTGGCAACCCACTCGGGACCCTTTCTGTCTCTCTCAGACAGAAGCTTTCTTTCCCTCAATAAATATATTCTGCTCTTAAACTCCATTGTCCCTAAAATGCATTCTTCAATTTTAGAGAACACGAACTCATCCCAGATGTTTAGCAGGTTGGGACTTTCTCTTCCCTGTATCAGTAGTTCCACTATTAGTGAGCCCGAGTCATCTGTGTGTTCAGATGATGAAGCTTCACGATTTCATCGTACAGTGTTCAGCACTGAACACTGTCAGCATTGTGTCTCATTATCATTTCAAGACTTCTTTCCATGATCAACTATTTCACTATGATTTACCTAACAAAAGTGTTTAATTCTGCCATTCTTTCCATAATTATCAGCTAGAATTAGGTATAAAATAATTTTCTCTACATATCAAGCACTCTTACTCCTTTGAAATAAAGTTTTTACTAGAAAAACAAAATGAATAATGAAATCTATTTCTTGATGGGCCGTTTTTAGAGAAAGGAAGCTTTTCTTTAAATTCTATCTGATGAGGAATGGTATCTCTGTTCCTTTCTCTTCTGAATATCCACATGAATTTATGAATTTTATACAATTGATGTGTCTCAGCCTATTAAATTATCATGTCTTCTGACACTCAGATTCTGTTTGTTAGCTTGATTCATATTTTGACACAAACTCATTCATTGCTGAGAATCTGTTTGCTTTATGGTATATTGAAATTCCCCTTCTTTTCTTAGATATTCCCTGCTCTGACCAGGAATTATCTAGTTCTCTCAGGAAGCTGAGATTTTTTAGTGAGGAATGGTAGATATATTTACCAAGCCAGCAGATGTGCTCATTGCTATTAATTCATGATTCGTTGTTGCTTTTATTAAGGGCTAAAATTAACAAATAGTAGTTTTGTGCAAAATTAGAATTTAAACTATTGTATGTAAGTGAAATGCAAAATTATTGATATCTCCTTAATTTAATTTATGCTTATGTCTTTTTACTTCATTAGAAAACCCTGGTTCTAAATTATTTTAAATTATATCTAATTTTACTTATTCAATAGTGTTTAAAATAGTTTAAGAAAACAATATTACTGTTACTATTTAAAATAAGACCACTGAATGAAACTTATGATTCTAGCTGTGTTTTCCTTGAATGTATGATACTTTCCATTTATACAAAAATATTGTGATTGAGGTCATTTTTTGCATAGAGTTGTTTTACTAATGATATAAAATTTGTTCAAAATTAATTAATATGCCTTCTTTATACAAGTTTTATTTATTTCTGTTAATACTCAGTTTTGGAGTTTTTTTTACCTTTTGACTTAATTTTATTTTTGAATATTTTTCTACTTTAGATTATTCCCAATTAAAATTATGTAACCAGATATATTTGGAAAATTCTCTTTCTTTCTGAACCCTCTTCTTTCTTTAAGTACTTATTGTTTGCATTTCAGTTTTCCTCTTCTAAATAGAAGCAAACATGCATATTCTTGCCACTCTGATTCACAGTATAGACACTTTTCCATATTCTTTCTTTCTCACTTAACAGTGAACCTTAGAGATTCTAAGAGACCGGGTTTTTTGCTACTTCTTGTGGCTGCATGTTATTTGATGAGCACAGAATTGTTGGAGGTATTATGTAATGTCTAGTTTGGCAAAATATTCATAACTACTTGATGAAAAATATATTTTTGGATAGACACAAGGATATCAGTTCAAAGACTATAACCCTGAGTTGTAGAAAAAGTAGCTTGTACTAAGGCAGTAGGAGTGGTGGTGATAAGAAATAATACAGTTAGGGAATATTTTTGAGCTATAGCTATTTGGAGGTACTGATGACTTAGATATCAGATGAAAAAAGAATGTATTTTTAATATATATTTTGTTTTCATCCACAGTTCCTGACTTACAACTACTTCCCCAAGGCTGGCCATGGAAAAAGATTTTGTTTTCCCTAAGACAGGTCACAGAAACACTAAAAAATTCATCATAAGGAATTGGTTGACATATCCATGGACAGGAGGTCCTAAGAACCTATCATCCAGAGGACTCCTGTCCCATACACTAAAGGAAGGGAGGACAAAGAGTCTGAGCAGAAAGTCTTTGGTTGGTTTCCCCACTAAGTCTACTATCACTCATGGATAAGCAATTAAGTCTCTTAAAAAAACTGAAGAAGACATGGTCTGGGGGCCAATAGATACACAACCATTTGCGAGTTTCCAGAGGATGGCACCCCAGGAGATGGTCTGGAAACTCTGCACCCCTTCACGTACCTCAGCCAGTGCATCTCTGTGTCTATATTTTTAAAATGTTCTTTAAAATCAGCCAGTAAATGTATTTCTATAAATACTTTTAAATACAAATAAATTCTATTAGCCATTCCAGCAAATTCAAAGCCAAGGAGGAGACTGAGACATTTAATTTATAATTAGTTAACCAACCGGTCATTAGTTAACCAACAGGTCAAACAACGCAGGGCTTGTTGTTGATATCAAAAATAAGGAGCTGAAGAACAGTCTTGCGACTGACCCTGCAGATGGGAAGATTTCATGCATTTGCAGGTAACACTGTTGGAACTGAATTGAGTTAGATGACACCCACCTTCTGCAGCAGAATTATTTGCTTGCTGTTGGAACGAAATCAGCACAACTTTTAGGTTCACAGAAGTCCTCTGTGTTGTGTTAATTGTGTTGTGAAAGCAAAGGAAAAACAAACAATTCTTTTACTGACAGTGACAAATCCACATGTTTTGCCTGAACAGTGGAGAGAAAGAAGGGTCACTCACCTAGTTAGGAGCTGGTATGAGTGTGAATAATAGCAAATGTTCAGTTTGGGAGATATTTTAACTGGTATTTTAGATATCCAAGTGCAAAAGATGAGTAGATATTTAAATATGTGAATCTGAAATTCAGAAGAGGAGTCTGGGATAAAGTTCTAAATTTGGGGATTAATTATTTACATGACCTCATTGGTCATTTAGCACTGTGACTAAATTTGGAGTATCTTTCCTGCCAGATTTTGGAATAGACTTTAACGTGGGTAGTAAGTACAAGAACTTGGGGAAGTCAGTAGACATTTTAAAACTTTTCTTAACCTAAATATTGTGGTGATATTAGTACCTACCTCAAAAATTATCTAATGATTTGGGAAAATATTTATAAAATAGTTACCATAGTGTTAAGCATTTTTATATTTTAAATTAATAGTGAATGGTATAACTTTTAAATTTCACTGTACAGGACAATCTTAAATGTATATAAATTATCACCAAATGCTATTTTACCTCTATATATGCTACTAAATAATCATTTACTGTATTCTGGGTTATGATAACATAAATATATAAAACATAGTACCCTGGCCTTTGAAGAATTAATATTATAATTATCTATATATTATATTTAGAATATTTTATTCAATGAAAAACTGGCATATGATTAAATCGTGAACTAGTAGAAGAGTATTTTTCCAAATATGCTCTCAACAAAATTGGTCTAGCAGCAATAGGGAAGAGGCTATGAGAAAATTCAAATAAAAGATAGACTGATTATATTTTCATTTTTTGCTAAAGGCTATTGAAAGACTTTTTACTGGGGAGACTACACTAGAGTGTTGATTTATTGTACTTTACTCAATAAAGCTGCACAAAGTCCTCAACCTACTGATCTTATCCAATGCAATGGAAGCATGTGGACAGGGAAGTTGGTGATTCAAGAGGACAGGAGGGCCAAATACAAATGGTGAGCAGGTAAAATCTGGAAAGAGATGGGCCAGGAAAATCTTTGCTTAGAATTTATCTGAATGCATTAAGAAAGAATTGGTGAGGGGCTGAAATTAAGTAAGATTTGGTCCTCCAAATATACAAAATTGAAGCCAAAGTGAAATATTGAAAAGACAGGCAAAGGACATTTGTAGATGGTGGGAGGGCATCTTTGGGTTTGACTTCAGCATACGTGTTTTCTTACTATAATAGTATACATGACAATTTGAGCATGATTCTCATTTTATATAGGAGAAATTAAGGGCTTACAGGAGATGAATAACTTGTCTGAAAACATCAGCTAGCACAGAAAAGACTCAATTCCTAATTTTTGTCAATGTGACTAAAAAATTTTTGCTTGTTTATAACATTATCTTATCACTGGATGATTCTCATTTTGAGGATCTGTACTTTATGGGAGCTTTTTGGTGCATTTAGTTCCAGTGAAATGAATTTAATTTTTTAATGAATATCACTATATATTGATATATATAGTTTTCCTGATTAATTTTTAGCATTTAAAAGTTCAGTAAATGTAAAAGGATTACACTTGATATATATAGTTTTCCTGATTAATTTTTAGCATTTAAAAATTCAATAAATGTAAAAGGATTACACTTGGTATCTTCTTTATTAGTATACTTATCATGTGATATGTGATTAATATATTCATAGTGGGGAGTTGGTATGCATACATATGCATATATATGTATAAGTATAATCAGAGCATCTTCATACTTTCTACCTCTCCTTCCTCTCCTCTCCCTCCTTTCTTCCTCTCTCCCTTAATGTCCTTGCTATCAGCAAAATGTCTACCTCCTTATTTCTTATCATCTCTTTTTTATCTTAATTTTTATTAGTAAGTGATTGCAACACTTAATGATTCCATTCATCATGGGAGTTTGTACATGTACATAACACATATTAATTCTTTTTTACTCCTTTTTCCTCCTGTCTTTCCTCTGGAAATTATGCCTTAGAGGTAAAGTAATTTGTCCAAGTTTTACAGGTCATGCAGTGATTAATGGAGCTGGAATTCTGTCTCTGGTTTACTGAAACTGAACTTTGTACTTTTCCTCGTCCAATAGTGCATTTCTATCATTATAAATTTAAGTAAATCAGCTTTTTTGAATCAGATTCCAACTTCATGTCTGGTTCTTATTTCATCCTTCTTGGTCTGAAGCACCATTAATATATAGTGTCTGAAGAATGATCTGAGCAGAAATATCTGTTCCCCAATATGCTCTTGCAACAACTCACCTAAGGTAGCCATTCACTTTGTTTTCAAATTCTGCTTTAACAGTTTGTCTTGAATATTACACTAGTGCTCCTTTCGGCCAAGAACATTACTTAGTTTATTTTTAAAACTTAAATGAGTCAAATGAATTGCTCAGTACAACCCAAATGGTGGTATTGGCTCTATTTTCCTTGTTCTCAGTTTTATAAAATTTTTTGCTAAGAAGAGGATACTAGGACATATTTAGCGTAAAGATGTATATAGTACCTAGGTGTCTTTATAATGATGAAATTAATAGACAAAAGGGAGTGTAGTAGATTGATAACTGGTGGTCAAATTATAACACTCAGCTGAACTGAGTGAGTGTAGTGCTGGGTGTGGGAGGCCCACCTGAGGACTGTTGCCAGCAGCATAAGAGGCAGACCTGGAGAAGAAGAGGTAGGCTGTTGGGAGCTGAGAGAGGCTGTTGGGAGTTGAGAGGGGCTGTTGGGAGATGGTAGAAGCTGTGGGGAGCTGGCTTTCCTGATTAACTTGGCTATTTTCATTCTCTGAGGAACTCAGGACCTCGCTGGCACTGAGAATGGCTTCATTTCACTTTGGGGGAGCTCTGGTCCTCGCTTTGAGCATTGCTTCCTGGTTCCAGAGGGGAAGATGGTGCACTGCTGACCTCCTGGAAAAGCTTGCTGTGTTGGCTTCCCTGATGGGAATTCGGCCATCCTGATTATCGGAGGAGCTCGGGACCTCCCTGTTGCCGAGGATGGCTGTGCTACCTTTTGGGGGAGCTCTGGTTCCTTCTGAGCATCACTTCCTGGCTCCAGTGCAGATCCCTCAGCCTGCTAGCACAGGTCCTTCATCTTGCTGGCACAGACTTTATAGATTCCACCACTGACCTTTGGGCCTTCCCAGCAGATCTGTGAAACTGGCCTGTATGAGATGTTGTCATGGGCTCTGGGCCTCCAGTTTGACTCGTGGGAGGCATTGTTATGAGCTCTAGGTATTCAGCTGGAATCATGTACAACATTGTTGCAGCATCCAGGCCCTCCGCTGGATTCCTTAGTCTTAGTGAGTGGACAGATTTCCTGCACGCTTTTGTATATCGTTCTTTGGGTGATTATTGTAAATAATCATATAAAATACGTGTCTATTGTATTGTTCCCCTTGCAAAATAAACCCCAGGCCAACACAGGGAGAAAGTTAAAAATGGAGCCTCACAGTTTACAAAGTAGTGGACTCAGATGTACATCGAGTATTTACCTTCAGGACTGAATGAATAGAAGAAAGATTAGAGATGATCAGGTAACCCAATCTGCTGGTTTACATTTTTAAAGTAAGAACACAGAGTAAGGAGAAAGAGACTGGTGCAAATGATTACTTTATAGTATATGTGGAATATTTGAATCGATCCTCAAAGCTTGCCCTGAGGATCAGATGCCACAGATCAAAAGAGATAAAAGGTTTACTACTGGAAATGTACATACTTGTGATACTAACTTCAGAGGCTCTGGCAGGGAAAATTAGAGAGAAGGGAGGATTGAAGAGGCCAGAATCACTAATCTCTTCTGAGAGAATGTTGGATTGGAAAGGCTTAGAGGTTTAGAAGTGATTTCCTATGGGATGCATGCTGCTAGAGGAGACATGCAGAAAAGGAAGACAGGTTCAAGGAAGATAGCATTTTATCTGAGGGACAGCTTACTTTAGTAGAGATGATGAGTTCGTGGAAGTCTCCCTGACCATATGAAAACCTCTCTTCCATAAGCTCACTGTTTTTGTAACATTTCTGAGTCTGATTTTCTCAGAGGTGTGGGTGTGGCAGGGAGAACACAGATGAAAGTGATACCTTCTCTGTGAGTCTGTTGGACAGACTTAGTAATGGATGAATCTTGGGTTATTCTTTTCTCTTGTCTTACCTCGATTTCTTCATGTATCACTAGAATCTTTGCCTTTCCATTCATCCAGCATGAGATCAGTAGCAGAAAAAAATGTTGGAATTTAATAGAGTGACCCAAGAAAGATGAAGCAAAGAAATGATGTAATAATATATATATATATATATATATTTTTTTTTTTTTTGGTTTTTCTCCGGTACCGGGAACCGAACTCACGACCTTGTGCTTGCCAGGCAGGCGCTTTGCCGCTGAGCTAAATCCCCAGCCCCGATGTAATAAAATATTAATAGGAAGATACATAAGTAGTTCTAAGAAAACACAGAGCAGATATTTATTAGAATGATTCTATTGGCCAGGAAACAAAGTATAAAACTGGGATTTAGGTACGAACTCAGGACACAAATGACTAAATGCATATTCTTTGGTCTTTCCATTTCTGTAAAATAAATGCAATAACTACCAAACATCAATATAAAACTGAGAGAAGGTAGGTGTGTTAAATCCACTGAAGAAATCTGAACACACAACCTACAGACTTTCATCAAATTAGAACTGACCTGATGGGGCAAAACTGTTAGAACTCTGCTGTTTGATTTTCTATTCCAGAAAATCAGATTGCTACAAATTTATAGACAATTTAATTACTAGGTGTATAAATAAAATATTTAAATCGCTTAAGGTAATATCTGAATGTAACTAATTTAAATTCTTGTTTGTTAAACAAAGAGTGCCACAAGAATTGACTTTAAAATGTCAATTTTTCCAATAATAAAAATCACATGCACAAATTGAAACTTAGTTATTGTCATTAATTCTAGTGCTACTATTAAACCCTTTTTCATTAAGTGTCACATCTGACATTCTCATCAACCCTGAAAATTGCTAGTGTTTTCTTAGTAGTCATGTATAAGGAATGAAAAAGAAGTCCCACTAAAAGTAAATTAAGGTCCTTCAAAGGTCATAATGGGAGCAAACAGAACAAGGATTTGAGCTAATTATTTAGGCATTCAGGTCTTTTGTTCTACTATATTTCTAATATATATATGTATATAGTATATATACATATGTACATATATGTATGTATAAATATGTATATTCATATATATTGCTTATATATGTACATATATATATATATGTACATATTTGGGGAATTTCATGTATCCAAGGTTGAAAATGTCACTAGTAGAATTTAACTTTTGATTTTGTAGTTTTATTTATTTATTTATTTTTTGGTTTTTTTTCCGGTACCAGGAATCAAACTCACGACCTTGCACTTGCCAGACAGGCACTGTGCCACTGAGCTAAATCCCCAGCCCTGAGTTTGTAGTTTTAGAACCTGAAAATTTCTGTCTCTACCAGGCCACTGTGCCTAATCATGTACCTATCTAAGTTTGCTAGGGCTGCTATAACAAAGTACCACATACTGGGTGGTTTAAACAACAGAAATCCAGTTTTATTACATTTTCTGGAAGGCTGAGATCAAGGTGTCATGTTAGTTGGTTTTCACTAAGGCCTTTCTGCTTGTCTGATAGTATCTGCTTTTGGGCATCTTCATATGGCTTTTGCCTCTGTGTCTGTCTCTTGTTCACCCCTTCTTATATCTACATCAGCTACACTGAAGTAAAGTAACCCAAATGATCTCATTTTACCTTAAGTATCGCTTTTTAAAACTGGTATCCAAAAACCTCAATCCTGAAGTATGGAGGTGAGCACTTCAGTACATTAGTGTGTGCAGGGGCGGTTCAGCCTATATTGATGTTGATTTCTTCCTACTGTGTGTTGTAGGAAAGTATATCTGTACAGTGCCATGTGGTCTATGAATTTTTGGTTGTATAATGAAACATCTTCCCATAGGAAAGGGACCAGAGATAAATCAAATAAAATGAAAATATACTTAATCGAGAAAAATTTGAGATCTGCAGTACAGGTACAAGAAAAAGTGTAGAATTTGGCCCAAAACAAAGGGAATTCATAGAAATCAAGTGTTTCTTCAGTTGCAAAGAAGAGAAACTCAATTGACCCAACTGAACCAAACATGGAGAATGATGGCAACTATTTTCTATTTTTTGCTATCTATTTTCCTTTAAGTTAATATTTAAGGATTTCATACTATAAGCATTAGTCTAGGTTGAAGAAAAGGAAAAAAGTAAGAACAAAAAAAAATACCAAAATCCTTAACCTTACAGAAATTACAGTGAAAAGAAAGAAAGGAAATAAATTAAACATTTGGTAGTTAAAATAGCAAAATATCCTATGGAAAAATGTAGCAAAGAAAGAGGAGAGATGATAGATGCATGAGACTGTTATTAAGGTCACCAACTGTCCTTTTCACTTATAAATAAGGGTTTTCCTGGGATGTGGGACATGAAAGGCTAACATCAGCATACAGTGAAGGAAACCATGATGATTGATAAGACTATCATTAACTCAGAAATATTTGGACAGGAAGCACAGCATGAAAGTAGTCCTTCTAATTGAGACTTGACTAAAGGCTAGTAGTATCGAGGACCTCCACAGTGGACCCCAATCTCTGGCAGGGTGCTATAGTACACAGCAAAAGAAAAAAAAAAAAGAGCAAGAGACAAAATGGCAGTGCAAGAGACAAAATGGTGGTGCAACACTGTTCTGGGATGGCACACAGCAACCAGAACCTCAGATTTATTGATCACATTTACAGTGAGGAAAATGGTGAGAGGATTATCGGATGTCTTAGAGGGCGGTGGTAGTCTAAAGCTAATGAGGATCTGATGTTGATGAGGATGGTGGGGAGAGATGGCAGGTCAATAAATAGTTTGTCCTTTTCCCAAGGTGAAACCTTTTTTTTCTGTTACTCCTCAGTTCTCAAAGAACCAAGATGTCTGCAGCTGATGTCGTCTTTACCTGGACAGTCACAGCATCCTGGGACCATTGAGGTCTCAACTGTAACCAGAAGCACAAGGAGTTATATTTCCATATAAGATAGGGGGCTCCCATGGCAAGATACTAGGCCTCAGACAAGCCCTAATCACAATTTAACTGTGAAATGATTTTTCTCCAAAATATATAGAATAGCCCTCGATACTGAAGAAATTGAGGAATGATACAGGCAGATATTTAGGAGGAGGAAACTCTAGTGGAAGACTAAGGAAAATACAAATAACACTAAGTAAATGTATTTCCAATGTGACTAAGAAAAAAAAACAGGGCAAAAACCACACCAGACCAGACCAGACCAGACCAGAGCAGACGAAGCCAAACTACTGTTAGGCTTTGACCATGTAAATTAAGAATTCCAAATTTGTTAGCAAAATGTATCAGCAAATTCCTAAGTCTCAAATGCCAAGGGTTTCAGTATTTTTAATGTTAAAATTGTTATGTGCTTTCAGAGGTTATTTATGGGATCATTGTTACGTAGGTAGAGACTACATGGTTTGTTGAGTAATTGAGTGAATTAATAAATGAGAACTGTAAGATGAAATCTTTGCATTTATTCTAAGCTATTTTACCTGTGATTCAGATATTTACATTAATAAGGAAAATAAATGATCTAATTATTTTATTTTTCACTATTCTTATTTTTTTATAAACTAAAGTAATATAAAAGAGACCTAGCTGAAAGACAGTATTGGGTTTGAATTCTGGAACCAGCCTTTGTAAAACTAATGATGGACAATTCTTTCTACTTTTATCATCTTGAATTTCCAGTCTGGAGCAAGTTCCAATTTTAGCTCTGTCATTTTCTAACTATAAATTTGAGCTCTTAATTTTTTGTATCATATTTCTTTCATAACAAAATAAAAGTTAAAATAGCATTTGTATCATACATTTAGTGTCAGTATGAAATGTGTCACCATGTACAGCAATTAGAACATGACCAACATATGAAAAGCAGTCAATGTTATATATCACAAAAATTCTAAAAAATATTATGTATCATACTTTATATTGCTGAGATTAAAGCTTTATTTCATAAAGTTGTTGAGTAAAGTAAGGTAGACAGTGTGATGTCTGTGGTGTGAGGGGTGCTAGATGACATTCACTTAAATTGAATTCAAGTCCAGATAGAACACATTCTTCTACTCTATCCTGGATAAGTAGGATCTCTGGCCTTGCATTTGGTCTGTAGTTCCAGAGATCTGGGTAAAGTGACAATTGGTTGGCATATGTCCCCTGGGTAAAATATAAGAATCTGAAGCAGTTTTAAGCAAAGAAAATAAAAATAAAGTGAAACAGAGCGTCCAAAGAATCAGTTAAGTGAAATAAATTAAGAAGGAAAATTCTACAATTTCCAGAGAACAAGTAGTTTTTAAGAGTTAAGGGGACAAGGGGAACGAACTAGTTGAGTTTCCCCTGCGGCTGATTGTAACTTCGTACCTGGTCAGACCTTTAGGGCACTGGAGTGAGACAGATGCTATTAACCAAATGTTGGTCAGTTCCTGTCCAATAGACTATTCTGCTCTGGGGAAGGGGAAGACCAATCTCTTGATTAACCTTATTCTGTGTTTCCAGTGAAGTGAGGGGAATTCTGGAACATCTGTTTTAACTCAGAAAAAGCAATAGTGTTAGAAGACACCTCCAGTCTTTCTCTCCCACACTGATTTTCTCCACTTGGCATGGAAATATGTCATTTTAGATTGGTTAAATCGGAGCAGAGGTAAACAGTGTTTTAGCTTCTGGATCGTTCTCTTCCTGTTTTTGGCCTGTTTGCATTTACAGGGAATGGCTTTGTTTGTGCTGTTCCTGCTCAGGACCGCAGGCCAGCAGCTCCAGACTTGCAGCAGCACACGCAGCAGCGGGGAGGCTGCACTTCCTCACTCGCACTTGCCTTGGGTCAGCTGGGTGAGTCCTGTAGATTCAGAGAAGACTTGCAGTATTCCTAGTATTGCTTTATTAGGAACCTGCACTTTGTGTTATGAAGCTGATATCTAATTGTAATCCCTACTTGCTTGTGACTGTTTACACACGTGGCCTATCCCATGGCACCTTGTGTTTGGGGTTTGGAGTGTTAATTAATCAAGCTCCACTCTTACTACCATCCCAATAATCTAATGCGTTTAAAATGAAACAAGGAGGGGGATGGAGAGTGAGATTGGGTGCCTTACTGAGGCTGCTCCCTCTGAGACATGGAGAAGTCATTCTCTCTAATTTGAGAAAAAAAATGGGGAATGAAGGGTTACAATAATATCTTTTCACACAAAACATTCAAATTACATGCCTGAATGTCACGTCTACTATGATCTTAATATTGCAACCCCAGACTTGTAAAATATTAATGTTAAAATTCAAATTATCCACTAAGTGCAATAGACCTAATATAATTTGAGTAGGTAGAGACAGGGGGAGGAATTAATTTTAAAAAGTTCAAACGATGTATATTTGTCTTTTTATGTACTAATCAATAAAGGAATTTTATATGCTCCTATTTTCTAAAAATGAAGTCATTTTCATAGCAATATGCCAGAGAGTAAATTGATCAAAGACTACCAACAAAAGGAATTGATAAATATGAAGACACCTTGTTGGGGTGTCTGGGTAGGTGTCATGAGACTTGTAGTAGATCCAATTTAATTAGTAGCTTGACTTTCTCTCAGAATCATGTAAATAGCATGGGAAATTTGCAAATTGGGCCAAGTTGAGAGAAATAGCACATGCTTAGGAAAATAGATAAATTGATTAGAAAAATTAATACTGCAGAACAAGGAAATTAAAAAGAAATATTTAATGGGCAATGTAGAGTGTAAGACTTAGATAAACTGAGAGAGGTGCTATAAGTTTTCCCAATATGATATGATCTTAAATTTATAAACGTTTGCCCAATTCTACGTGATTAAAATTTTCTTGTTCAAATCATTTTGAAGAGTTTAACTGAGATGTAGTTCACATTTCACAGAATTTGCCTTATTTAAAATGTACAAAATAATTCCTCATATACTCAAAATTATGAAGCCACTGCCACAAACAACTGTCACCCCATTTCATCACTTCTAGAAGATGCCCTGTAGTCCTGGCTAGGAAATAGTACTGCAGTTCTGCTTTCTGCATGTAAGGGGGTCAGACACGATGTGGTACTGTGTGGTTGCTGTCTTTCAGAGCGTGTTTTCAAGGTTCATCCAGGTATAGTACATTACCAGTGTCCACACCACTCCGTTGGCAAATGGCATTATATTGTGTAGAACTATCATATAACTTCATTTTCTTGTTAATGCTAGGGATTGAACCCAGCATGTTTTAGACATGCTGAACACATATTTTACCAAGTCCAGTGCCCACACAACATTTTACTCATTTATCAGCTGATAAACAATTGTGTCATCTCCATTTTTTTTTACTGTTATAAATAGGCTTTTGTAAGGATTCCTGCACAAACATTTGTACTGACACAAGCTGTGATTTTTCTTGTGTATATGTTTAGGTGTAGGGAAGTGTGGGCCTATAGAAGCTCATTGTCAACATTTGAAGAACTGCCAAATTGTTTTCCCCAGCAGCTGAAAAATCTTACATTACAATCACCAATGTCTGTGGCTTTCAATTTGTCCACATACTATTCCACATTTTTGGTTGCCTATATTTTTTATTAGAATCATTCTATTAGTTGTGAAGAAGTTTTCTTATTGTTGGTTTTGATTTGATGTTACCTTTTCACTAATGATATTAAATACTCATGCTTACTTGCTTCATGCAGTTTTGGAGAAATATATATAAATATCTTTGATCACATTTTTAAGAGGGTAGTTTTTCTACATACTATTGAATTGTGTATTTGTGGTACTATTGCATTATTATATAGATGTTAAATATTTTCCCCCATTTGGTGAGTTGGGTTTCCAGTTTCTGGATGAAATAATTTGCAGCCCCAATATATTACATTATGAAGTTCAATTAATTTTATCTATTGTCCCTTATCCTTATGGTGCCATATATAAAACATTGTATGGCACCTAGTCACAAAGATTTATACATACATTTTGATTATAGAGTTTTATACTATGAGTTTATACATTTTGGTACTAGATCCATTTTGTGTTCATTTTCATGTATGGTATAATGGGAGTTCATTTATTTTTTCATATGGTTCTTTTTAGATACAATATTTCTTGGAAAAAATCATTTTATTGTCTAAATACATTTGTTAGTAAATAATAACCATAAATACAAAGGGTTATGTGTGGACTTTCAATTCTGTTTTACTGATATATCTGTATATCTTCATATATTTTAATATGTGACTACATATGTATAATTTGATGTAAATGTGTGTCAATATGAATATATTAATTAAATGTACCACTGTGATTGCAGGAGAAATAGGGATAATGAATAAAAATGAGAGATGAGGTATATGTTTATCCTCATATCAGTAGCAAAATATATTGCTCACTCTGTGTCTCATAAGTTTTCAAATCAGAAAATGATAGTCTCCAAAATTGCTCTTCCTGTTCTAGATAACCCTGACTCTTCTAGATCTTGTATAATTTTGAAAATTATTATCAATTTTGCAAACAAACAAAATGACTCAAAGCTAGCTGGGATTTTGATAGAGATTATGTTGATTCTTCAAGTAAATTAAACATTGCCTTCTTTAAAATTTTAAATTCTCCAATTTACCCACATCATCTTTAGTCCTTCTTTGGTTTCTTTCAACAATGCTTGGTAATTCCAGCCTACAAGTCTTGCACCTTTTTGTTAGTCACAGTCCTAAATATTTTCTTCTTTTTTCATAATTTTAAAAATGAAAACAATTTATGTCACTTTTAATTTTTTATCAACTCTTCTGTAATTATATATAGATATATATCAACACATAGTCCATCACTTGTGAATTTGTTATAAACATACCAGTATGCCTCTTACATGATTTCTTAATTTATTAGTTAAGCATCTTTTTGTAGTTTGGGGGGTTCTCTAAATTTATGTTCATATCATAAAAAATTTTGCTTGTTTTTTCTTTCTTATTTTTTATCTTCTATTTTTCTCTCTATCTACTGGGTTGAACAGCCCCCTAAACATGAGGGGAAAATACCATGTCCATTAAAGGATCAGAATAACATCTTACTTGGAAGAATGATTTTTGCAAATATAATTAATTAAACAACGTAAGGTCAAATTGCCTCAGAGACAATACTAATTCCAGTCATTGATGTTCTTATTAAATCACTGTGTGAAAAGATGCACAGAGAAGGAATATGACAGGTGAGGAGAGAGGCAGAAACTGTGAAGTGAAGCAGCTACAATAAAAGAAGTTAAGAACGACTCACAGCTACCAGAAGCTAGGAAGCCTTTTTCTCCCTAGAATCCCCCTAGAGAATATGGCTGTAACAATACCATGACATTTTATTCTTACCACCAGAATTTTAACAATACATTTCCAGTAGTATTTTGGTAGCTCATTTTGTGGTACACTGTTTAGCAGATCTGTGAAACTAATACAACTTCACAGTAAACAAATAACAGTAAATGGGT